CTCTTATTTCTCCAAGAGCCCCTTTGATCCACCTCTGCAATCTTCCACTACAGCAAAGCTTTTTTTTTTTTTTTAATTTTTAAGAAGTTTCAAACTCTTCGCTATGCAAGAAAAAAAAATTGCTCCAGCGAAGCGCAACAATAAACTTGATTAATTTTTCCCTCACAAGKGCAATTGCAAAAATAAACTGGGTTTGAATTTAACCTTGTAACGCTTTGCACGGAGGGGTTACATGGGCRCTCAGAGCAGGAATAATTTCTGGAAAGTTTAAAAACAAACTTTCTCGAATGATTCAATGTACCTGGCAGAGTTTGTTTTGGAAAACGACAACGTACTAGAGAAGAAAAGTGACTGCATCTTCCCCATTTTAGGGACATAAAATACTAAAAGTGGCCCTTGACAATAAATGTTTATAGCTGCTAACCTTCACCAACAACTCACCGCAAACCGATTCATTTTTATCTTTTTTTTCCTTTTTACCCCGGGAAGGCGAAACTTTACCCTTAACGTCTAATTACTGTTTCACCGGGAGAGGGGGAAAAAAATGCTCTCTGCCATGAGATTATACGAAGATTTTGAGATTAAAAACCGAGTTGCACATTAGGCCCGGCCTATTAGGACACGGCAAATTGCATCGCAGCTCTCGGAGGGAGCCAGCCGCGGGCTCGGTGGTGACGGGGGGTTCCTGGGGGTGGTGGCGAGTGCGGGGCACGGAGGAGAAGGGACACGATGTCGCGTTGGTGTCGCGGGCCTGGCCGGGGCTGCGGGGCCGCTGCCTGGAGGCGGTGGAGAGTTGCTGAGCAGACATTCAGCTCCTTGCCCCACGCCTCTTACCTTGCTGAGGACCTTGGCTACCCTCTATTGTAAATCTCTTTCGGCTGTGTTTGGGTTTGTTTTGTTTCGTGGCTTTTTTTTTTTTTTCCTTTTTTTTCCCCCCTCCTCCCTTTCTTTTAAACACACTGAGTGTCATTTCTGAGGTCCGCGCGGGCAGAGCTGAGAGCTGGAAGTTTGCTGGTGCCTTTTTTTTTTGGAGGGCTTCTTTCACCCCGTAGGCCCCGTGTTTATGATTCGTGCATGAAATATGGGAGGAAATTGTGTCTGGAGCGGTGGGTTTCCCGTTCGGTGTGTGTCTATGCAGACGTGTTCGGTGTATTAAAGGGATGACTTCACGTTCAGTTCAGCTGAAGGAGATATCACCACGTCTCCACTGAAGTACAGTGTGGCTTGCTCTGCTGCTAATCAGGTAGCTCTCCAAAGAGCAGTAAATATTTACCAGTTAAAGTCTTCATGCTGCGAGAAAGTACTTGTTTGATGTTTATTTTTATGGATTTAAGATTACTAAAAGCTACTTAATAAATTATACCGTGGCTAGTCCTGAATGGGGAAACGTGCCTCTTTGATTTCTCCATCATATGCAGGAAGAGTAAAATTAATATTCATTATAGGGGCAAAAGAAAGAGAATGAGTATTTTTAGGCGAAAAAAAAAGGAGAGAAAATGAAGGCTGTGACTATTTCATTATTTTACCTCCTTTTTTTTTAGCAACCCCCTTGAATGGGCTCTTTATTGTAATTGTCCCTCCCCAATTGAGCACCCCACTGAGCTGTTGTATCTTTTTACAACCCCTAACAACTCGCACCAGTAACACAATTACCGCCAGATATTTATAACGAGAAATTACTTTTCCATTTTCACCCGCGACGATTTCAAATAAATACATAGGGACGCATAAATAAATAAATAAGTGGGCCGGGGGGTAGCGGGGAGGGGTGGGGGAGAGGGAAGGAAGGAGGGAGGGAGGGAAGGAAGGTGGCGAGAGGAGGAGAGAGGGAGTAGTGGAAGGAAGGAGGGAGGGAGCGAACGAGAGAGCGAGCGGGGGGGTCGGGGGGGAAGGCGCTGGGGACTGTCCAGGCGCTGGGTCAAGGCAGGCACTAATGAAGGGAGAAGGGGCTTGTTTCTCTGCTCTTTGTAAGTTGGAGGGTTGTTGGTCCGTTGAGTTGGGAAGCTGCGCGGCCGGTTAAGGAGCCTGGGTTTCTGCACTCGGGGTTTGGGTAGAGGAGCAGAATGGAGGCCATTGTTCGCTTTCTGTAGGCTTTGTTTAACAGTTCTCACCCCCTCCTGTTCTTACTTTTTAAAGCAGTGAGGCGAGGTAGACAGCGTGTGTCACAGTACAGTGAAAAAGGGGAAGATCTAAAGACCAAAAAAGAAGTTAATCACAAGACGGGGAGTTTGGGGGAGAAAAAGTTGCTAGTGCCGCACAGAAAGGGGGAGGAAAAAAAAAAAATAAAAATAAATAACTCGAGGAAATACCCGGAGGTAAAAATGGAGCCCCGCTCCCAGCACGCAGGGGCAGCAGACGGAGGGTTCCCCCCACCCCCCTCTCCGCCGGTGCCCGCGCAGCCCCCGCGCAGCTCCGCCCGCCCCTCTCCGCTCCGCTCCGCTCCGCCGTGCTCCCCCCGGGCACCCCGCACACCTTCCCGCCGCCGCTCCACACTTTTTAATGTACTTCTTCTGCTTTGTCCTAGAGGGAAGACTTTAACTAGTGACACGCAGATGTGCGAGTCCCTAAATTGTATGAGAGGACAGTCCACCCTGCTTTCAGGCAAGTTTAAAAACATGACTTCGGACTCCCTTTGTGATTGTTGTCGCTCCACTTAATACACCACCTCAGCGAAGAGCACTAACGACGAGGCAATACGCCACCTGCATGCAATTAAAACGAGAAACCACTTGGCGGGCTGCTTTTCTTAATTTWTTTTTTCCCTGTGAGTTAGGGATGCATATGTACATTTTTTTTGCCTCGAGGTATTAGAGCCCCCAAATCCTTAAAGTAACCGGGGAAAGATGCCTTAGGATAACAAAGTTAGCCGGTGAAATATTAGCATCTCTGCAGCTTAACTGTGTGCACTGCCTCCCCCTGATTAACGCCTATTTTGTCACTGATAGACTGCTATAGGCGACCCCCGTGGGATACTGCTCTCTCAGCCCAACATGCAGAACAGTAAGTGACTCCGCGCCCCTTCGCGGCCGCGGGCGCGCAGGAGAGGGCCGGCACACCGGGGCGGAGGGCTCACGCCGGGCCGGGGAGGGAGGAGGCTGTGCCGGGAGCGGGGCCCTGCGCGGCCGGGAGCGCTGCCCGCCCCTTCGGGGCACCGGGAGCGGCGGGGAAAGGGCCAGGCCCGCTTGGTGGCCCAGAACCTGGCTGCGTCCTTACCTTCTCKGCGGTGTGAGCTGGGCAGGAAAAATCCTCTACGTGTTAGCCACTTTCTGGGTTTATTTGCTTCCCGATTTGTGGATTATTAATTTTTTCGGGGGGCCTTTTTATGTTGTTGTTGTTTGTTGTTGGGGTTGCTGTTGCTGTTTGAGACCTCGCYCATAGACCTGGGCGCTTCTCAGAGGGGAGAGATCTGGCATAAGGCAGCGGAGGCGCAGTCGGGCGTGGTGGCCGGCGAGCAGTTCGTCTTTTTGCGCCCCGGAGAAAGGGGCTGCGCGGAGGTYGGAGGGAGCGGGGGTGATGTTCCAGCCGGTCTGGAGCAGGCCCCATACCCTCGGGACGCGGATTTTCCGCGGGGTGGTCTCCACACACCCGGGCCTGTCACTCTGTGCGTGTAGCGGCGGTGAGGAGCGCAGGTCGAGTTGCGCGGCCTTTGCGTGGAGTGGTCGGTCCCCAGCCCAGTGCTTCTGTGGAACCTGAGAGGGGATGCGCGGCTCCGGGACCCTTTATCATCCTACCCTTACACCCGTTAACAAGTTGTCCCCCAGAGTGAGGAGAGCATCTCGAAAAACCGAGATTTTAGGGATTTCTCACATATCCTCGAGTGAAGAGCTCTTTTTTTTTTTTTTTTTTTTTTTTT